GAACCCTGGTGTAAACGCCTGAGAGTAAACTATGCTTAACTATCTACGCCCAGCTGGTGGAAGATGATGTACTCTCATGCGTGGGGATCTTGCTATGAGGACCCACTCCAACTATGAGAAAACCACAATAATCCGCAGGAATTGGGTCTATATTCCTATACTAGACTGGCAGGCACCCAGTTTGGCTCCCACTTTACAGTGACTTAATTTAGATTTATTTATTCTGGATTTCTATTTGGGGACATAAGAGCCTAGATCCTAATGTGCAAATGCCATGCAAGGAATCAGGACGATAGGGGCTGTCTATGTGGGAAAATTAACTGGACTAATTTCTCGAAGTATATTGTGATCTGTAATACCAGTCACTTTAATTGCAGAATATGAGTAAATTTCTGAAGAGAAGTGATCATTGTAGAATAAACTCATTTTTAATACAGAACAAAAGCGTAGAGATGGGTAACGCCTGTGGAATTGCTTATCACAGAATGATATTCTAATCAGTTTTCCCAAGTAGATGAACCTGCAGGGCAGATGGCTTATCCCTTCTGTTCCTTGTCAGTTTAGCTATATATAAATGCCCTAACGAGAACAATATGGACAAAAGTTAGTAAGGACTGGACAGAAAACTAAAAGTATTTAGCGTGTAACCAGAAAAGTTTAAAATGGTAACAAATTTTTATCATTACTAAAGAACTGTGACCCAAATGTGAAATAAAGTGGATTTTAAAAGCAGAATCAATCCTTTCTTATATTCCTTATCTAATTTTTTTCCATGACTAGTAGGCTAACATCTATTTGGCATTAATATATCAGAAGTCAGTGAGTTTTCAAGGATAAAATGTTTGATATACCAAGCATTCAAAAATGTAATCATACCTGTTATGGTTAGGTAATTATAATGTCTCTAAAATCCTGTAATTTCTCTTCATTTCTATATAACATGAAACTTGTGGGTATAAGGAAAAGACTAAATCTTGGAATATAAAGGTATTCAGACTCATTACTCATTGTACATAGAAATACCATCACCAAAATTATGAATTTATACGTTTTAAACATGTATAAATATGAAAGGTAATAAAAATAGTATAGTCACAAAAGGAGCATTGTAACATGAAATTTACTGAAATTACCCAGATTTCAGAGTATTATGCAGGAATTTTCAAGAGATCTTCTACCTTGCAGTCGTGATGCAAGAAGGATCTACAGAAGAGCTCCACAGCAGCCAACCATGTGAGAGCAAACTAAACGAGCATGCTGGACCACTGGTTAACAGAAGCAGAAAGACAATGGTAACAGGAGGTGGAGGCTACCTGGGATACAATCTGGGATGTGCTCTTGTTAGGTCAGGAATTGCTGTTGTTCTGTTTGATGTACGGAAACCTAAATGGGAAATTCCAAATGGAGCATATTTTTTCAAGGTATGTTGAAATTACATATTTAACAGCTGTGAAATAAAGTTGTACTACTTTTATGCATGTTAGCAAGGCTTCCTCTTAAGGATTTTTGATAAAAGCATTTACTGAAAAGCCTTTAAGGACAATAAGAAGTCATGGTAAAATGTCCTCACGTGCTGAAGTAACTGATTAAGAGATAGCAAACAGGAGTCCAAGTGGTCAGTTCTCTCAGTGTCACCAGTGAAGTTCTGAAGAGTTCTGTGTTGGGAGTGCCATTCAACACATGTGTAGCTCACCTAGGTGAAGGAGTAAACAATGAAGTGACAAAGTTTGCTGCTCAGGGAAATTATTTGGAGTAAAAAGGTGAGAGCAAGACAGGGCAATAAAGGTGATCACAAATGTAGAATGACTGCCGAGCAGAGAATGACTGAGGAAACTAGGACTTTTCAGTCTGGGAAAGAGATGACTTGGGAGCGGGAGAGTTCTACAAACTGTGAGTGGCATGGAGACAGATAGGGATTGGCTGTTCACTGTCCTTTCCAGTACAAGAAGGAAGGACCATCAGGTAAAATAAGGAGGAGTTAGTTCTTTACAAACAAAAAGAGGTTGTTTTTTCATGCAGTGGGTAAAAGGCATGTACAAAGTCTTGCCAGAAATTTACTTCCATTGGAGATTACTAAATAGGTAAGCTAAATTAGGCTCAAGAAATCTTCTGAATGAAAATACTTGGAGACTGGAAGAGTATTCTGGGGGAAAGTGTCAACATATGCTTGCCCTGTTCCTGCTCTACCCATTTATGAGCACTGATTCCTTTTGATTCTTAACAATTCAAGGAATTTATTATGTCTACAAAAAAGGGGGAATGAAAGAGACCTCAAATATTTAACGGCTCACAGCCATCTGTGGAGGACAGCATGCCCCACTACTCCCTGATGTGGGGAGCACCAACTCCTCACAGCTGCTTCACCCACTCAGCTTTGGGGGTCTGGGTGCACAGGGGGGCACCAGCACTTTCTGCAAGGTCCTGTCATCTTGCACAAGTTCTAGCTAGATATAGGGTATGTATTCAGCTGATCTTGTCTGAGCATTTAGTGTAAGAACTCTTTTGACACCACCATTAGAACTAGAAAGTTGATGGCAAAGCTGAAAGTGATCACCAGATCTTTGTCCCAGGGGCTATCGAGGTGATGCCAGATTTTCTCTTTCTAGCTACATCACCGCATGGGACAGGCAGTAGGGGAGGCAAAAGGGGATGCATGATACTGCTCTGCATGGCTGTGCAGCGGGCAGAATACCGAGCCAAGCAGACCTTTAGTCTGACCCAGGATGGTTGTTCTTATGTTCAATTTCATAAACAGCTTTTACAGAATATGGAAGAGAGAGAAAGTATTATTGAGGAACCATTCAAAAACCATGGGCTTGATGTGTTAACAATATAAATCCACACAACGTGATTTAAGTTGGTGGATTGATGGCAATTTGCATCTTTTAAAGGAGACTCGAGATCTGACAAACTATCTTCTGAGAACAGGGGGTTTTATAATTCAAATTTAAAAGAATAAATTTTAAAAGAATAAATATTACAAAGTATAGGTGAATTACCTAGAAAATGGAACTAGTACATAAAGTAGCAAGTCACTTCAGAGATCTGAGCCTTGATCAGTGATTTGGAGATCGCTAATACTGTTTATACTGGTTAGCTATTTTAGCATTTGATTGAAGGTAGGAAGTGTAAGTCAGCCATATTTGTGAAATACTTTGGCAACCTCAGAAGAAAAAAGTTGAGGTTAAAGAGTGATTAGATTACCTCTTAATATTACCGCCAGCCTTTTTTTTTGTGATTATTCTATCAATCTCATTACAGTAAATTAAATAATATCTAATATTTTGAAATATCATAATTCTGAAAAGAAAGGGATTATATTTTTATTGACATGTATGTGGAGTATTATTTATATAGTATTACCTGGTATATACAAAAATGCAATATAATATTCTAAGCCCAGCATAGCATTTGATTCTAGATATAGTGTGTGTGTATTTAATGCAGTATGGTGTTCAGTGCTATATAGCATTTCATATAATGTGATTATAATACACTAATGTATACTAATACAATGTTAAATGCATATAGTCTGTACTCTTTTGTTTTAATCTTGTACAAAAATGTAATTAAATTTATCACGCAGTGCACCTAAAATAAAGCTTAGATGGGCAAAGAGATATTTGTCCGGATTGCACAAGTCAGATCTTAAGGTGCTAACAGAAAAGGAGTTATCTTATTTTGTGATTCCATGGCAAACAGCTGAACCCTTCCTGCTGTGATTTATTGTCCTTGGGGCTTGATTCTCCAGCCCTCAAGCATATGCTGCTCCCATTCAAGTCAAACAAGTTTTGCCAGCCTGCAGGCTGCAGGACTAAGTGTGAAAATACACGTTATAATTGGAGCCAACACGAGTCATATTTGTTTTGCAACAAAATATTGACAAAATTCTTAGTCATGGATTTTTCCCCACGTTTATAATGTTTTATTTTACGCTCGGTAAGTATTGTGAAAAACAGATCAGAATGACTTTAGATTTTCCTTAATAGCCATAGTTAACACTAATTCTATAGAGAATGTAATGAGCTCTACCAGTCAAAAATCCTTTCTTTTCTCATTTTACAGGGTGATGTGAGGGATTATGATGCAGTGTTCAAAGCATGTGAACGGGTTGACTGTGTTTTTCATGTGGCTGCATGTGGAATGTCAGGATTAGAACAAGCAAGTACAATTTTTCTAACATTTTCTTTCTTTATTCTTGTGAAAGCAAAAATTTGTCTGCATGTAGCAAAGAATGTAATTATATGATAATATGTCAGGCAGAAGTTAGTTATAAAGGTCAAGTCGTCCATACAGGCAACAAGGGAGGTATTCCTTAAATAATAAATGTCAAAGCACGAAACTAATGTACTACACAAAATACGCTAGAAAAATGAGATCATAGATTTAAGATCTTTATAAGAAGGCATGTCCTTTTTCTCTAATCTGAAGAAGTGTGACAATATTGCTCTAGAACTAATGTTGATGCGTTTTCTTCTTGTGAACTCACAGTCATGAGGAAACAGACAGGCAACTCAGTATGGTTATGCTAAATAACAGTGATACTCACTGAGGGTGTTATCAAAAAACTCATGAAAATACTAATTTATTTCTAGCAACAGGACAGTCTGCCACTGGCGCAAGAATTTGTGAAAGCTTTCAAGGAGCATAACCCCTGCCTGTAATTCCTGTTTCTATATCATGGATTATCTGGCGTGCAACAAAAAATTAAAGCATTGTAATTTCCTTTCAGATGCATTTTATCTTTCATTTTTCAACTTTATTTATTCATCTACTGAACAAGACAATAAAAACGAGAACTGCTAGGAATCGCTGTATGTCAGAAGGACAGAGAACTGTAACGCATACATCACAAAAAGGCCACAGCTGTTGTAGATCTGGCAATTGTAACAATCGTATTGTGAATGTGACTTATTCAATTAATTAGATATTGTGCAAACTCTATTTCTAGCTTCAAAAGAAAGACCAGATTGAATCCATAAATGTCGGAGGCACAAAAATAATAATTGATGGTATGTACCTAGATTTTCTCTTTGCGTCTGATCCAAACCATTAATTAAAAAAACTTCTAATTGGATGTTTCCTGTGTTGATTTGGCAGTAAAATGAGGCTCTTCTTTCCCTTCTTTCAGAGTATGATGTAAAGCTAGGTGTGCAGGTCCCATCAAAACTGGTAGATTTGCCACTGGTTTGAACTGGGGACAGGTTTTCAACCTGGACTTCATTCCTTGGCAGACCAACTTAAACTCTCCTCCATGTACTGGTTATTTTTTCCCTTTACTGTATGTAATGGAGAAGTGTTATCCTCTTTCCTCATAGAAATAACATAAGAGATATTGTACTGTTCGTTGTGTTGTAAACATTTGGTGACGGGAGCCATAGATGTGCTAAGTATATTTAGCTATTATTTTATCACATTAATATAGAAAATCTTCTATCCTTTCTGTTCATCTGTCTAATGTTCTAAATATTTACAACACAGTAGTTACATTCATTATTTTCAGAATGAGCCAACTGGACTCACTGCTCTGTAGATTCTAAAAATTCCTGACTTTGAATATTAATTCACTTAAACTTTAGAAGCATTGTTAAATCAAAAGGAAATTTATGTTATTCCGAGTTTGCAATGACATATATGCAGCAGAATTTAGACATAATATCTTAACAGCCGACTGGAATCCATAATTAAGACTTTGTTTTGTAAATAATATTAATTTCATTTGTATTTAAGGTACTACTGATTATACACTAACAGCGTATGTTTCCTGCTAACATGTCAGTTGTCACTTATGGACAGATTGACACAAAATGCAGTTTTGTCACACACCAGAGAGGACTAGCACATTTTCTTATACGACTTTACTCATGGATGCCTGTGCATCCATGAGTAAACTGTGGTGCAAGAAGCAGTACTGCTTACTGCTGACTGCTGAAATAAGAGCAAAAATAATGGTCCGCAGGCAGGCTGTTCTCTACAGTGCTACCCCTACAGAAAGAAGCAGGGATTTTTCAGTGCTATTTGATCACAAGAAATGTTCATACTCATCTCTTTTTTTATTGAATTTGTAAAATGAACATGTTTTAAGAAATGTTTCTGACGTAAAGGAGGAATATTTTCACCCTGCCAATGCCTCTATCCAGGTGATGACTACGATCCAGTGGTGATATGATAGTTGCAGGTACCTAATCATAAAATGTTTGGTGACCACAATATGTAATATTTACGTAGCAGATATTTGGGATGAAAAATTCCAGCTGAATGAAAGATAATATGTTAAATGATAAGTTAATATTAAAAGATTACTTTTTCTATAGAAGTAATGTTTGTTTTCAAAACGAGAAGCTGCCAGTTCATATGTTGTTTCTCACTCTTTATTTTTGTTTTAAAATCATTTATTTTGTATACCATTGTAGTCTGCAAACAAAGAAATATCCCTAGACTGATATATACCAGTACAGTGAATGTGGTATTTGGAGGGAATCCTATTGAAGAAGGAGATGAAGAAACTGTGCCGTATTTTCCACTGGAAAAGGTACTTTGTTCATGTGATGGCATGGCATTTACTGTGCTCTGGAGGATAGATTATGTGAAGGCTGTTCTGAGAGCAGAAGCTGTTTTACTATACATCACATCAAATTCCATGAAATCATTTTTCATTAATAAAAACTGACCCGTGATCAATGAAGAAATACTCAAATCATAGTGGCTTTAATCTGCTATAACTAGACAGATTTGAGATGATAAAATACCTAAAAATGACTAAGAAAAGTGGAATGTGACATTTTACAAGAATATTTTAAGAGGAAGCGCTTTCAGGGGACCATCTGCTATGTAAATGCTGACTATTATGGCCCCCATGAGCCTTTGCATTGAAGAATATTGTTAAATATCAAATTCTACATCTTTATTCGCACCCATTTTTCCAAGTTCCCAAACCTTGCTTTCTTGCTGCAGGCCAGGTGGTAGTTACAGTCACCTCAGGGCTGCTCTGAAATACCATTTCTTTCTTTGCTGTGATCATTTAGGAAATATTTTCTAGCTGAAATCTGAAGCTCAATGCATTCTGGCCACTCTTCCCATTTGTTCTTCCTGCTCCCAGCATGCTGCCTGCAGCTAAAAGCTATAATTTTAGAATGTACATCCTGTGTCCAGGAATCCTAACTAAGACTGACTACTACTCTGTTGGAGCCTCCTGAGATACTTCGTTGGATATGACAGTTCGTGCACAGCCTGCACAGCGCCTCAGACTTCTGAGAAGGCATTTCAGGAATTTGCAATTAGTTGCATGTGTCTGAGCCCAAATCATATGTTTTCTCTAATGGTGATCACATAATAGCACGCAGCAGAGGGAGGTGGGGCGTGGAGGAGGTGGATTAAGCCACCTGAGAGTGGAAAAATTTTCCATGGTGTGATTTTTAGGTATCTTTTTCAGTTTAAAGTATGGCAATATAAAATTCAACAGATACATAAATAACCTCATGTGGATAAGTAATGACTAAACCGGCATGTGCTAACTGGGTCCAGAATCCTATTGTTTATGCTTGGGTGTGATTTTTAAAGTTAATAGTAAAAGATAGGGTTGGGAGAGAATTATTTATAACTTCCCAAATAGTTTCAGTAAGAAATGGAAACATTTTTAGGAAAGTCTGAATTTTCAATTTCGTATTTAAATTACTGTTTTAAAAAACTTTTTCCAATTCAAATTGGATGTTTTTTCAAAATAAAATTATGTGACCCACCAGAACATTTGGCTTGATATTAGTTTTTTCAGTACATCCAGCACAAAAAGTAGGTTAAGTAAATACTAGTGGACTTAAATTTGCTCTGAAGCTAAACCTGTGCAACTAAAATGTAAGTCTGATAAATTTCTTTGTCATAAACAAAGTATATATTTACTATATCTTGTTGTTATTTCTAGTTTGGTTTTACTCAGCTGATGTCTACAAGCTGGCTAGATTTAAATGTTATCAGACATAAACAGTAAGTTTGCCTTTACAGATGCAATAATGTGACTAAAATGTTGATCATATTCTGCGTTTCTTTATAGCAATTTAATCATTATTCTAGAACAAAGGCAATTGCAGACCAAATGGTTCTTGCTGCTAATGGAACTTTACTCGAAGGTACATATAAAACATTTGGGGTTTTCCTATCAGTAGTAGTGCTAATGGGGTATTCCATTCTCTGGTTACTCATTTATCAATATTATTGATACTTTATAATTGATATTATACTTTTTTATATACAGTATACTTTAACTGAAATAAGGATTTTTGTTTGTTTGTTTCTACTCCTCCCTTCGGTGGATGATTAATTTTTTATGTGTATACCCAGACAGATATGAGATTATATGCAAACGATAGATGGGAGAAATCGGCAAATTTAACCTTACTTCTTCAAATCACCTTAAAATTCTACCAGTTTTACAATAGATACAGGATTTGTGCTTTTATTCCCCATTCGGTCTATCACTTCGAGCATCTCTGATGATGCCAATCTCTAAGCACTGTCCAACAGGTCATTCTTATAATCCCCAAAGGCTTGCAGGCGTCTTGCAAGAATAACTGCAGTTTCTTAAACAGATTGGCAATATCAGGGTCATGTTGACTTCTAAAGTCACACATGCATGAATAGCTGTGGCTAAAAATCTATCTGTACATGGCAAGGGAAATATTTATCTTTGCTTTTACATGTATATTTTGCTATTCATACTGATTTCTCTCAACTGAAAAGTTGGCAAACATAGATCAGGTGGGGATTCAATTTTAGCATCCTTGATTAACTACTGAGCAAATGTCTACCACCTGTTACACTTGCCCACATAAAGGCATAATTGTGCCCATTCTCAGGAGTCAGGGCAGTCTGCTTACTGTAGAGCTTAAAGTATTCATTTTGATTTAAAATATTCTAACTAATTTGAAAGCCTTTGTTTAAGAGACCTCTTCCATTCCTTTGTGATGCCATTGAGCTGCAAGCAAGCAGGGTGTCTAAATATAGCAAATTGAATGATCTTCTTCCAGTATTGCATGTGTCTACAATGATGGACAAATATGTATGTTACAAACATATCTATAATAAATAGCAAAAGTCAATCAGGCAGGAGGCACATGTATAGGAAAGTTTGATTTATCCTGTCCCTACTCAAACTCTTCTGTGGTCAGAGGGATTCAGTTTTTCAGGCTGCTAAGCTAGGGTCTTTCACTACTATTGAATTCAATTTTATACAGAAATGAAAACAAGTTACTCGGAAGCCGAATCACGTGGAATGGTCGGGCTGATCCTTTACTTTCACAATGTAAAATTCAGACAATGTATGTCAGCCATATGTTGATATCAAAGCTATCTGAAAATCGCATTTTGTTTTCTCTCCAAGGAGGTGACAGGCTCCATACTTGTGTGCTTCGTCCACCAGGCATATATGGACCAGAAGAGCAGCGCCACCTGCCACGAGTAGCCGTATGTGTTATGTAGTCAGCTCTGGAGGACAGACTACAAGTAGTTGTAAGGGCATAACACAAGTGGAAGTATCTTGGTTACAGTTCTTAACAATTCCTCCAGGAAAACTGTTGTGAAAGCTTGGTGACAGGTCATGTGATGCAAGATAACAAATAGCACGATATGAGCATTGCAGAAACGGCAAGGATCAAGCTGTACTTTTAAGTGAGGAGAAAAAAATGCAAGGCTGAAATGCCATGGTAGAAGAACTAGGTTTGCATCCCTGATCGTTTAATGTAAATATTGTCTTTTAAATATGCACTTTAATTTCAGCCAAACACTATAATGTCACCATATTTTACCACTGCGTATCAGTGCAACAGTCCTTGATTTATAAAACCACCAACTAGTTGGGTTTTTTTCTTGTGACACATTTCTTGTGCTGTAATTGTACACAAATACAGCAAATTCTAAGTATTCAGGCTGAGACAAAATGAATACATTATACTGCACAATAAAGGAATAACGTAGTTATTTCATGTTTTCTGTTTCTACAGGTAAATATCCAGCGGAGGCTATTTAACTTCAAGTTTGGGAATCACAAAGTTCAGATGAACTGGGTTCACATAGGAAATCTAGTACAAGCTCACTTACTAGCTGCTGAGGCTCTCACCTCTAAGAAGGGTTATGTAGCTGTAAGTAAACAATACAAACATTGTGTCCTAGTAGCTTTAGCTCGCAAATAGGTTTAATTTTTGATGTTTTGAGATCAATGTTTCTCCAAAAGGTCGTGTGCTAAATTCTCAAAAATGTCACATGGACAGCACAAATGCAAATACATTCTGGTAATATTTTGATGCTGTTTTTTTCTGTTTTGAAAATATATCATTTCCTGTTTGATTGGAGGAAATAGTATTTTTAACCAGGTTAATATATTCACCATCATACAAATCTATATATTCTGTTATTCTTCTGAAAATAGATTTTGATTCTAGATGCATAAAGTTTAGAGCAACCATTCTGAGGCATTCCAGTTTTATTTCCAGGGTTGAAAATTCCAAAAAGATATGTACAAAATTAATGGACAATTTTAAAAGGTTTTTCTTTTTCTTCTGCTGGTCATAATTGCAACAACAACCTGAGGGACTGTGAAGCGTTACAGAACTGACAGTGTTGCAGCAGCTGGTACATTCACAGCTCCTGAAGGCTTCATTTATATTGGTAGGAACATATAGACAACAGGTACAGATATGTCTGAACATCTCGCCGTGTGCTCTCAACTAGTTAAGTGTTTGAAAGCTATGCAGCTGTTTTAGAATGACATGATGCCCAAACTCCTGGGGCCTGCTTGGGTGCTCAGGTGTTCATAGTGCTCACAGTTGGATAGACTCCTCATCCAGAGCGTAGCTGTTACGGAAGTATTGCCTGCACATTTAGAAGGCTGGAAGCAGATAAACTGGAAGCCAAAAGTGGATTCAGGCAGTGTGACATGTCCCCCAGAATATATATACTGAATCTGTTTTAATCAGAAAATTAGCCAGAGTTGGAACTTGACCTCAAAAACCTGTGTTTATTAAATGCTGTCAGTGTTGCCACCTTGATCGGACTCATGAAGATAACCCTGTCCCTGCACATCACAAAGAACTTAATGCTCTAACAGCCGGGTTACTACATAGTGAGTTCAAGCTCTGATTTACATTACACCACGGTTAATCATGATTAGCTCTACTACCACCGTGGGGTTACCCAAAAGTATGAGACATGTTTGAGATCACAGTGAAGTCCAATGAAGGTAGTTTGTTGAGCTGATTTGTGTACATTCACCGTGTGCATGCTGGCATGTTATTCACAAAATCACGAAAGATAAGTAGGTATGAGAGAGAAAGAAAATGCCATCCTATGTATAGTGTTTTTCTAATTGTTTTTCTCTGCTTCTTTAACAGAGTGGTCAGGCGTATTACATACATGATGGTGAAAACGTCATATTTTCCGAATGGATAGTCCCTTTAGTACGTATTGCACACACCTTTAGTTCTAATGCACCGTATGGGCCCTATTCACATCATTAACTAAAAGACCATACTAACTAAATGAAGGTCAGTGCACATTAATTACTGAATTATGTAACATTAAAGTCAGTCCTGTTCTCCCTGCATATCCCAAAGTTCCACTGGCTTTAAGGGGAGTTTTGGATATGCACAGCTGTGGAGTTTGGCCCTTACCATTTTGGGAGAATTTAGCTGAGAGGTATAGAACCTGCTACAGAACAGTAGCATTTCGGTAAAGCAAGCTCACAGTGCACGAAAAGTTCTACTGTTAGCATCTGGCAGGCCTTTTATAACCGTTGTTTATTTCTTTGTTCTGCCATCAACCGCAGCACAAAAGGGAAGGCCATTTAGAATTCTATCTTGAAAGCTAAAAAAGCAACATTGTGTTTTCATAAATATCAGACTGGGATTTTAGAAACATGCTGAAGTTTTGATCCTGCAACGCCAACACAGAAAAGACTTCCAGGAAAATGTCTGCGGTAGAACGATGGGCCTGTATCTAAATGTAACGAAGTATTCAGTCTGGGTCACCTACCCCTTGGAAATACCATTGTTTCCCCCTTACCATCCAATTGCATTTGAAGGGTGGGAGGTGGACACTGGAGAATGAGCAGTGGGTTTCAACTGATAAATTGTATCAGTTTAGATACATGTTTCATCAATATTCATTTTTCCATTTTCATGCTTCATTGACACCCTCAATTTGGTACAAATTCTCTGTTATTCTTTCCTTTTATACCCCTTCTAGTTTGAAAAATTAGGCTACAGGAAACCCTACATACATATTCCTGTTCTTCTGGTTCATATAGCAGGTAAAAATAATAAAATACATACTTAATTATTGTGCTATTTATTTTTTAATTTGTTTTTTTATTCCTATAACGCTACATAATGGTTTTATAAAATTCAGGGACCCAAATTGTAGGAATTATATAACTTAACATTATTCTAATTAATATAATAATCGTTTATGCCATTTGGCATTAATTACACAGATAAACTGAGTCCATCACGTACTTTATAAATTAAAAACTGCCTTCTGCCACCTTAATTGCATCCTCTGATGTCAGTAGGAATTACAGGATGTGCAATGTCAGTATTGGTTTATTGTTATCCAGTTGTCGCATTAAATAACTTTCTGTTTCACAGCCACTGTGATGGAGTATCTGCACCTGATACTAAAGCCAGTTTTTAGCTTTACACCTTTCTTGACAAGGAATGAGGTAAATATATAAAAAGAGGGAATGTTTATATATTTCTGACCAAAATTCTCATGAAGTATGTGATACGCCCTTTGCATGCAGACAGGATTGTCTGCATTAGAGCTCTGTTTTTCTGCTCGGGGTGTAGTCCGTTCAGGGCTTACGCAGTCATTTTGTAGCTTGATTTTTCCATGCCATCCTGGCCACCCCTTATAAAATCGTCAGAAATTGAACATTACTTGAAGATTAGATGATCTAGAGAAACGTCCTAGAGGTGCAAGGTAGAGTGACTGATATGGAGCTGGCACAAAGAGGAAAACAGGCACTGCATCCTCATTTCCAGTGAGCTGTCCTGTGCTGTGGAACTGCTTGTTAAAGGAAGGTGGTCCAAGAGTACAGAGCAAGAGTCTCGGGACAAAGTGGTAGCAGTTATCATAATGCCAGGCTAGCCAATAATTAGAAAGTCCACTAAAAATAATTCTAAATTGGAATGAAAAGTCAATTTTCTGGGGGAAAACAAAACAAAACAAACCCTTCTGGACAAATTCATTTTGAGCTAACTTATGTTTTTGTACAATATTATGATTTATAATATAAGCCAAAATGCTTTAACTAATCTACCATCTAGTCTCTTACTGTATTGTAGCATGTAACATAATAGGATACTGAAGGGACTGAAGGGACATCATTAACTTCTGCTGTAGCTTCTCAGTTATTCCACAATTTATCTATCTGTTTTTATACTGACTTCTACATTAGTTCCACATCTGAAGCAGAAATCATTGAGACTATGCAACTTAAGCACTTCCACAGGTACCATGCGTTCAGAGATGGAGGAAGTAACTCTGCAAAAGTGCGTGTTTTCCACTCCTTAGATAGGCATTTCTGCAAAGTTGAGAAGCCACGCCGCTCTCCCCCAACACATTCATCCCGTTCCTTTGCGCATTTCTCTGTACAGGAGAGCCACTTTGAGGGAAGTGCGCTGATCTGTTGCACGGGATTTCCATAGTTCTTTATCTCACGTTCACAAGTGAGAAATCAGTGTCATAAACTCCTCCTGCACCCAGTCCACAGAGCCTTGGCTCTTTACCTGTCAGCTACATCAACTCATTCTGTTAGCTCTGGACAGAATCTGACCCCAAAACGTATACATTCTTGCGTGTCTATCTTTGTCCATGTTTTTAATTCCATTGCAATATCATTGTTAACATGCTTTCATCCAAGTTCTAGAAAACCAGATATTAAACAGTTACAGATATCCGTAACTGTCCTTTTGGATTTTAGGTGTGGAATGTTACTGTAACTCACACTTTCCGAATAGACAAGGCACGAAATCAGCTCGGTTACAAACCCAAGAAATTCTCATTCGCTGACTCTGTGGATCATTATCTGAAAACAAGACCTACTTGCCAAGAAGATCACACGCTCCTTAAAATGGTGTTTGCTTTTGGCATTTTGTTAAGTTTGATCATTCTTTCTTTCTTCTAAAATCGAATAACTACCCACCTGTTCGAGAAAACCTGATTTTGTTTCTGCGTATTGATGATCTGGTCCTAGTACATTCCTCAGTCACTGTGGATATGATGATGATGATGATGTCTCTCTGATGTCATTTAAAAAACAAATCAAAACACCCACAAAGGTGAAAACCCAGGACACATCAGGAAATGTTCCCAAAGGACAATGCAGTGGCACAAAATCAAAGGAGTTCACCACTAACAGTTGCAGGAATAGTTTTAATGGATCTTCATTAATTGATTGCTTCATGCTGAGAATGATTTTCTAAAAATGATAATTCAGGAGGATAAGAAATTGGAAGAAGTGGAACCATTGCAGGACTGCAGTGCTGTAACAAGTTCAGTAGCTCCAATGAAGAAAAGGTTGACTAAACAATTCCTGTGATGAAGCCGCTGCTACAGCTACTATATGTTAGTATAAGGAATTATGAAGACCTGGGAAATAGTACAAGAAAATACGAAAAGTAATATTTATAAATAACAGGTGGTGGAGGACTGAAAGTCATATTTATGTAAAATAGTTTTATTGTTCAAGAGCTTTGTAAAAATTTAATAAATAACATTATGTGTGTTTGTAAATCAAATAATATCCTTTCAATGCAATAATAAATAGTAACTGAACCAAATACTGTTTTTAAGGAGTCTGTGGGAAGGGGGAGGGAGGGCACGTAAGACCTTGGAGTTCAGCAAGCTGTTACTGCTACCTTTCCTTGTAGATGAAGCCAAGTCAGCTACCCGTAACCCTGTACCAGTGCTGGCACACTCTGTTCCTTCGGCGAATTGCCATTTCAGGGTGAGCAGGTAAGCCAAGCACTAAGACCCGAGTCAGGATCCAACCTCTCTCTTTTCCCCCTTCATAAGACTTACGTTAGTTGCTTCTTGGGTGGATTGTACTATGTGAGCTACGTGTGCTACGTGTGTACTACGTGTACACATACCGTGTGTAGCCCAGATGAATTTTCGTAAGGTTACCTGTCGCGAGGATCATCTCGGGGACCAGCTTTGCTCTCACCGGGGAGCAGCTGCTCCCTCTCTTGCACCCCACATGGATCAGGAGAGCAGGATTTGCCAGGGTGGGTCACAGAAGAGAGTGACGGAAAAGCTCTGCCACCTGATTATCTCTACTCTGTATTTATCTTGCCTTTGTGTTAGCATTTTACAGGATTTTTAAGACCAGTAAGTTTATGGACACTCTCTTGTTGTATCTTTAAATTTACAGGGTACACAGGAGAGCTAACAGTAACCCTACAAGAATAAAACGTTACAGGTAAAAGACACAGTGACAGGAAAATGTGTGAGCAACCACAATTACCACTACAGCTTACGTGAGTGAAGATTTGTTTCACTATTTTTTTTTCTATTTTTTCTTCTTTAAATAAATAGTTCCGTGTGGAGTGAGAGCAGTAAAGCCTGGTCTCTTACGGATTTGCATTTGGAGATTGTCCTCGTCCGTACAAACTGAGCTCACACTGTACATCTTCCCTTAGCAGGGGCACTGCTCATCCCTCTCTCCTATTCCTCACTACCTATTGTCAGGAAATTTAAAGAACCTCAGTATATATGAGACCTTTAGCCACTTAGGCAAGTTTGATTAAAACCGGTTAAGTTCACAATTTATCCATACAGAGGCGTAGCTGACTGACAGACAAGCAAGCCCTGCAGGAGGTCCTGCGTAAGCCTTGTTTCCCTAGAAAAGACGACTAGAAAACCACAAGTATAAAGTTACTTCCCAGCATTTTAACTATGCAAACATTTAATTTGCTTTAAATTAGTTATTTATGAATCTTTCCTATATTGCTTTTATTAGACTAACAGCTCAGGACTGCATCCCGGATTACACCAACGCTTTTCAGAAGAGACGTCGGGCAGTTGACTGCAGCCCCGTGAGAAGTGCAGGCTGTGGCCTTTTTTTGGATACTCCTCAGTAGGGGCTAACGGAGGAATAAGCTGTCTTTGCGGTTGCAAGTCCCCGTGGAGTCGCGCCGTTCCAGTCCTGTAACACTGAACCTCTGATTCGTTATTTCAGGTAAGATGCTTTTTACATCACTGTTATAACAGTACCGATTAATACTAACTGGCTTCATGCAATTGATTTATCATTATTACAAATCCAGTATTTGAAGTTTTAAGACAACTTTCAGTACCAGTTTGGAAGAGCCGGCTGTCTCATTTCTGTCAGTCTTTACTGAGTCTTAGTTTAAGGTGGCTACTGTTCGAGCTGCTTACACTCTAACATAATTGCAAGTGTGTCTTTAAATGATTAAAATTTAATATGAACGTTCAGCCATGGCACAGCTATAACGGAAGAGGTAAACGTGTTCAAAGTTTGATTTTTGCCTGGGATGGGTAACTCTGAAATCCTGCAGCTCCTGACCCTTTTCGCATCCTTCCCGGCACGAGTGACCACGGAGCTGAGCAGACACCCACTGCCGGCTCAGGAGGGCAGGGACCTTAGTGCCTGTTTGTTTATGATTAAGTTGTCTGCTGGGGGATTCCGGCTGTTTTGCAGGTGTTTCTGATGCTCTGCATCTCTCTGAGCCATGTCCCGCCACAACTATCCAACCGGTAATCAAGAGAGGGTGTTTTTTTCCTGAATGACCTGTTCAACAGGTACCTCAGCGCGGACGGAGCCCTAGCCACCGACAGGATGCTTTCCTGCAGTGGTCGCGGCTGTATGAAGACACATGGAGGTAAGAGCCACCAAGGGATGCTGTGGGATGAGCAACATCCCAGGAAGGCTGTGGGATTCCAAAGTTGCTGCAAAATGAGTGGGGCCCAGGGGGGCTGCGGGACCCCGGGGGGGCTGCGGCAGCCCGTGAGTGCAGTGGGATGCCAGAGATACTGCGGGATGAGCGGCACCGGGAGGTGCTGCGGGACCCCAAGGCGCCCGGTGCGGCACACGTGCGGGGCCACCCGGC